GGCATTGTTAGCTGTTTCGATTGTCTTAAAAGAGTGGATCTCAAACCTTTTGGTCTTATGATCTTTTATACTTTTAAAAATTATTGAGGACCCTAAAGGGCTTTTATGTGAATTTTATCTATTGATAACAGATATTCAAGATTAAAAGTGGGTAATATGTAGAGTATATTTTTGCTATTTCATTTAAAAATAACAATAGTAAGCCTATTACATGTTGATTTTTAAATGAAAAGTAGCTATATTTGCAAGGAAAAAAAATGTATTGAATAGAATGTCATTGTTTAACAGTTTTGCAAAACTCTTCAATGTCTGGCTTATATTAGATACCTAGATTCTTGTATCCGTTTCTACAGCCAATCTATTGTATGTTGTTTTGGTTGATGCATATGAAGAAAACTCACCTCATATATGTATGTATTTGGGAAAGGAAGAATTATTTCAACAACCTTTTAGAAAACTAGATACTCTTCTTTGATACTGCATCAAAACTGTAATTTCAGCAAGTGATCATTTCTTAACATTCTTTTTAATAATGCTAACTTTTCATCTTTTTTTATAATGAAATCCCTTGGTTGACCTTGCACTTGGACTGTTTTTTTTTTTTTGGAGAGGTTTTTGCTACAGGGCATGTGCGCTCGCCAGAGAGAGAGACAGAAAACGAGAAATTACCCCCCAGGGGGGATGGCCATGCCGCAATCCCTTCTCCTCCATTCTCCCCTCGGGATCTTGGGCATGCACGCACATGCATCCTGCGTGAGTTTAAGCCACTGGGTCCAGGACTTGAACCGTGGTAGGCTACGTGGGAGTACAGCGACATAGCCATTACACTAACTGCTGGTCCCTGACCGTATTTTGTACTCATTCCTGATTTTGAAATATTGTCATTAGTCATCTGAAAATACCAGTTTACTGAGTTACAAAGATCTATCAAATGTTGATACATGTAATTATGTAATATTTTTACAGTCATTTGTAAATGATACCATTGATCTTATCAGAAATGACTTTAAAGTGTTAAGAGCTTGTCAAGTTCACAATATTCCAAAACTCTAACTTTAGTTCATTTGAAAGCTCTAGTTTTTTATTGGTAATGAATACCATGAGTTGTTTTCCTAGAAGTGACAGGCTCACCACATTTGAATAACAAGCTAGTTCACCTTGCAACTCAGTCACGCAAGTCCTTTTTCCTTTTTTTTTTGGATAGGTTTTTGCTATAGGGCGCGTGCGCTCACCAGACAGACAGAGACAGAAAGCGAGAAATCACTCCCTAGGGGGGATGACCATGCCACAATCCCTTCTCCATTATCCTCTCTGGATCTTGGGCACGCACGCACACGCGCCCAGTGTGAGTTTAAGCCTCCAGGTCCGGGACTCGAACCATGGTCGACTACATAGGAGTCCAGCGACGTAGCCATTACGCTAACTGCTGGTTCCAACAAGTCCTTTTTCTTGAGACAACCGGTATGCTTTGAAAGTGCTTTATATATACTTCCCCTTTTGACACATATATTGTGAAAAAGACACAAATGCTCAGGGGTTAAGAGTGAGATACTTTTGCTTTTTCACCAAGGATATTCTTAACTAAAACCCTACTGTCAGCATAATAATGATACTTGGTAATAAATGACTATGTCATTACTTTATGTATTTATTGTACCATACTTTTTTATTATTATTTTAGAGTGCACTCCTTCTATTTATTAAAAAAAAAAGTTTACTATAAAACTATTATATTAGCACAGCTTCAGGTATCT